TGTTGATTCCATCGGCAATGTTTATTGGTTTTAAAAAAGCAATTTTAATAAAACCCAAACATACGAAAGTGAATTTATATATTTCTTTATTCTTGAGAATTGACAACAGATGTTAAATACTATATATTTATTGGTTTTATTTTTTAAAAAAGATCTTGTTTTCATTGCCATTTATGAGATGGTAAATTATAGATATTCTAGTTACTTTACATATTTTGATAATTTGATTAATTTCTTAAAATTTTTGAATGAATTTTTTTCAATTTATTTGTTTATAAGATACTAAAATCATAAAACTTTATAAAACGTAAATAACAAATATCGCATTATTTAGATATTTTTTATAACCGTGTAAATAAACATTGCCGAGGGAGTTAAATTTGTATACTGTAATAGCGGTGTCAAGAGAATGACCATTCTTTAGACACACTGATTTTGATTTTTGTGTGCACGAAGGCAAATATTACCACCGTCATTGTCACCGTTCTGCGTGCACGCGCGTGTGTTAATATATTTTATATACTGTGTACTTTCACAATTCATTTATGTTCCATACGTGATACATGACTGACGAGGCAGATTTTTCCCGCAGTAGGTTGCCATTTCTTTCTGCGGTAGCCCAGTCAAGGCTATAGAACCCAGTCTGTCCTGCTATTTACCTATGCCGGGGGTGGGGATTCATACTTTTCCCAAGGTATTAGCACGTAAGTGAATGTAATGGATTCAACTTGAATTCGAACTCGGCTCTCCGATTCCTCAATCCAAGCTGCAAGCCATTACTCCACCAAGGAGTTCTAAAATGTCTTGTACTGTCCAAGAAAGGATTAAAAAGCACAAATTCTGATGATTTGTCATTTGTCCAAATTTTGGGGATGTGAATATAGCTGAGTATATTTTCAGTCCCCCCATATATATATATATATATATATATATATATATATATATATATATATATATATATACATGCGTTTATATTGCAATATATGTACACAGTTTCATACCTTAAGCAAATGGTCTAATGAGCACTTAAGACGGAAAGTGCGTTGTTGATCTCTGCCTACGCTGTTTATAAAACATAATGCTCTATGTTCGATAATCACTCCTCCTCTCTAAAAATACCAAATTTTAAATTTCAAACTGTATATTAAAATTATTTATTTAATTATGTATGAATGTGCCTGCGTTTATATAAATTAATGCTTGTGTCTACATACATACATAAATACATAATGGATCCGACATTTTTATTACTTCAAAGGTTATTTTTAGTGGATACTCGTGTTTGAAATAAACGCCCTATTATTTTTTATTTTAAACAATTTGTATTACATTTCGAGCGCGCAGGCCGATAGACGTAATACAAATTTTAAAATAAAATTAAGACGGAGCGTCTATTTCAAACACGATAATCCACTAAAAAATATGAAGTAATTATATATATATATATATATATATATATAATTACTTAATGGATGGATGGTTTGTTTAGTTCTACATGCATGTTTTCAAAATTTTTAGGTTGTGTGTAGAACTTGAATTTTGTGTTAAATCCATTTATGTGTATCTTCATGTGAATAGCGCGTGTATTTGTGGGCCTCTATATCTATGTATGCGTGTGAGTGTGAACGCTCATTGTGTGTGTGTATGCACATTGTAAATGTATGTATGTCTGTAGGTGTCGGTATATTGTGTATGTCGGGGCGGAGAGGTTGGTGTTTTATGTGGTTGCGTGTGCGTCGAAATCTATAGGCGCATGCATGAGTGTTGATTAGCGTGTGCATGTATGTACGTGTCTGTAGTATTTGTGGGTGAAACCTGTTCGGTCTGGTTTGTCTTTGAACTTAAAAAAGGCGGCGAACAACAAAAACATTAACAAAAGGCCAACATCAACAACAAAAACGCAAATGAATAAAGAAAGAAAGACAAAAAAAGACGGAAAATAGCTTTGAAGTGTGATTGCTTCACTTTCTATAATCGTCTGCTATTTTCATATTCGGTGTAATAAAAAGAAGGCCGGAGAAAATAAAAAAAAAAATTAGGAGGGAAACGGATGGGAGGGAGGTGGACAAGAGGGCTCATAAAGAAATTCTTTACGTTGAAGCCCTTTCAAATACCACACACACACACACACACACACACACATGCATTAACATATACGCATACGAACTAATAAATACTCACACCCACACGCATACATACGACTCCAGGTATTCCCATCACCTCCCACCCGCCTATATACAAAAAAAAATGCGTGTGTGGAAAGTTGGTATCATAGCGACTAAAGCTTGTCACTACGTGAGTGTAATAAATAAATAAATAAATAAATAAATAAATAAAGAAAGAAAGAAAAAAAAAAAAAGCAAACTTTACCGACCCGAACACACAGATACGAGAGTCTCTTCATCCGCCAGTGTTGTTTTATTTTAACTAAGCCTAGTCGAACACAGGGCCACTTACTTTTTTTTCTTCCCCTTAACATTACGAGGGCAGGATCGAACCCAATGGTTTTCGTGCCGAACGCACTGAATAACATTACGACAGCTAGACATATATACAGACATGTAATTTTCTTTTGTATATAGTTGTAATTTTTGAAAGAATCTTTTTATTTATTATCACTAATAAGAACATTATTTTAGTGGCTACACGTGTTTGAGATATTATTCCTGTTTTTTTATTATTATTATTATTTCATTAAATAGTGAAATGAATAACAACCTAGATCGTGATGTTCTGAAGAAAATTTGTGCCTCCGAAGAGAATCGAACTTGCATCCTTTTTTTCATCATACCCTGCATCCCTTTTTTTTTTTTTATCATACCCTGAGGCCAACGTAAACAAATCAATGTGCTATGCGTGCTACACGCTTAAGCGATCATCTATCTTTCGATACATGACTGACGAGGCAGATTTTTTTTCCCCGCGTTAGGTTGCCATTTCTTTCTGTTGCCATCCAAGGCTACAAAACCCTGGAGGAAGAAGAGGATTCACACTTTTTCCAAGGGTATTAGCACGTAAGTGAATGTAATAGATTCGACTGGAATTCGAACTCGGCTCTCCGAGTCCTCAATCTATCCATTACTCCACCTTGCTTCCTCTCCCGACCTTATTATAAATAAATAAAATAAAATTACGTAAAGAAAAGTACAGTAATTTTTTAAAGTATTTTTTTATTGTCCGGCATTATTTCTTATTAGTGTAAGCCGGATATAAGAGAAACCCGGATATAAGAGAGATTTTCTCTGGTCTCAAATTAGAGCCCATACTTACCTAAACAAAATAGACCAAACCCGGATATAAGAGAAACCCGGATGTACGAGACTTCTTCTCCGGCCCCGACAACTCTCTTATATCCGGGTTACACTGTACTTAAAACGTTATTTTCAGTTGGTACACGTCTTTGAGTTGCCATATAGGGTTGCATTTTTTTTTGGAGGGGTGGCATCTCGAGGTGGTGTAGTGATTAGCAAGCTTGTCTGGCTAGAACGATTACGATTGAGTAGTGAGTTCGATCCTCACTGGGTGTCCCATACTTTCGGCCTTGTGCCACATCTAAGCTACGCTTGGAAAAATCACTAGGGTTGCATATTTTTCTTTAAGAAAAACGGAGACCTGTGCACATTCACTTTCTGCAACAGTCAACAAACGAAAGGATTTTGTAACTTTGACAAAATGTTATAACTAGCGTATTTTGAATTTTACCTCATTCACGCAGTAATTAAACACAATGGCATCGTACATATGTTTCTGTGTGCTTATACACGCACACGCGTCTGTATGACATAGTTGAAAATGCCTACCAGGAAACTGACTCAGCAAAGAAATATTTTAGTAAATAATACTTTATATTTCAACTGCCGACAAATCAGTTGATATCCTTTTTTTAAGGAAGACAGGTTAGTGCTTAAAAATATATGTATTTTACGTTAGCCCAAAAATGTTTTTAAAAATATAAAATAATATTTCATTTTATTATTCGCATCTTTATCTACTTTACGTTTCAAATTATCACGTCAATGTCGGTTAACATTGGGATAGCCAAAAGGGGCGGTATCCCCCACTCCGATGTACAGTAGATAAATCCAGGGACAGTTAGAAAAGGAGGATGGTAGGGAGTCGACAGACTGTTTTCTCTTTTTTTATACTAAACTTCACAATACGAGGCTCGTGAGCGTCTCAAGGTAGATTATTGTTAAAATGGCCATAATGGATAAAATGAGTGAAAGAGGCATTGATAGGTCGTGGAGATTATGAGCATAAGGAGGATAGATAAGAATTGACTCTTGAAAAGCCTAAGATTGTAGCTTTTAGGGAAACAACCCCGCGGGAGTCTCTTCCACAGAGAAGCATTTTTGGGGGAATAACTATCTGGGTAGAACTTTCTCCATATATTTGGAATACGGTGACAACGAGAGTGATTCGACCCCGTGAAAGTAGCAAGGGCATGTGTGTTGTAAAGGGCAATTTTTTTCTTTTTTTACTACATCATCTTTAGTAGATCAGGGTTTTATGGCAGCCGCCCAGCTTCTTTCCAAGTGGCAGACTGAAAATTGCTGAACGTGGGGATCTTGGACTTCTTTCTGCTCAGCGTTTTCAAGCCTGATGTTGAGAAGCTGATATCCCTGCACCACATACATTCCATTAAAACTGGGAATTTGCCTTCTTTTCATGTTTGCTAAACCAGCGAAATAAATTGCTTCACTTGGTTAACTTGTTTTTATGAAATGCATATGTCTGTTTACAATGTTATTAGTTGTTTTAAATTTGCAGTCTAACTTATACCAAGAAAAAAAGTATCTTCGTATTGGTATGATAAGTGGGTATTAGTGATGTGGTTTGAGGGCCAAGTTGGTGGCAGTTAGAAAAAGATTGGGAACCACTAGATTAACCATATGAGGACTAAAATTAAACATTCAAATATTCAATTACTTTTTACTTTTCCTTGCAAGCATATTTTAAAATGACTTTTGGGTTTAATGTTTTTTTTGTTTTTATTTAAGCGTCACTGATTAAAATCTCTTTCACTCTGTTTATTTATTTCTCTCCTCTTTCTCTCTCGTTCTTTTTTCCCCTTTCTTTTTTATTTTTTCTCTTTCTTTTCTCTTTGTCTTTCTTTTCTCTTTGTCTTTCTTTTCTCACTCCTTTTCTTTCTTTTCGCTTTCTTTCTTTCTTTTCACTTTTCTTTTTGTTCTCTCTTTCTTTTCTCACTCCTTTTCTTTCTTTTCGCTTTCATTCTTTTCGCCTTCTTTCTTTTCGCTTTCTTTTTTCTTTCTTTCTTTTCACTTTTCTTTTTGTTCTCTCTTTCTTTTCTCACTCTTTCTTTTCGTTTTTTTTCTTTTCGTTTTCTTTCTTTTCACTTTCATTTCGCTTTCTTTCTTTCTTTCTTTCTTTTCGCTTTCTTTTCACTTTCTTTTTGTTCTCTTTCTTTTCACTTTCATTTCGCTTTCTTTCTTTTTCTTTCTTTTTTCTTTCTTTCTGCTTTCTTTTCTTTCTTTCTTTCTGCTTTCTTTCTTTTTTTCTTTCTTCTTTCTTTCTGCTTTCTTTTTATTCACTTTCTTTTCTCTCTTTCGATGGTTATCAACATGGAAAATGGACTGGGCAAGCATCGACATCGCTGATGTTCATTTTTAGCAGATACCGTTAGGAAAGGCTTGGATCCACTTCTCTCTGTCCATCGTAAATAATCTTGAAAAATATTTTGTCAGGGGTATGCCACAACGGTTGATGGTGAAGTGAGCATTTGGATAAAAAACTACTCTCCGATGACTGTCTTACTGGCATTGAGCAGAAATAGCAGTATAAAGCCGCTAGAAACCTATTGTCTAAATTGACAAGTGCTAGTCACATGACACCAACTCGGTACAATTGTGTCTGTGTGTAATTTATTATACAGACGCAATCACCATGCTCGCTTACAGATATTTACTAAGCTTAGGTTAGGCAAACCCTAGTTTATGAATTAGCAAAGGCTTACGTAAGTATCTTGTTAAGTTTACTATTTTGATTGCATAAAAATAATCGAATTTATATGACCGAACAATTTCAAGTTAATTTATATCATGCAGTAGGTAAGAAAAATAAAAAAAAGAAATAAATAAATCGTGCCCCCTGACGAGTGGATGTAACCTCCACGAAATTCTGAGTGGGGACAGGTAAGTGAACGTTTAATTTTATTTCTTACTATTTACGCCCTGTCTTTTGATATTGAGCACAAAGACTGCTCGCCGTAAAGACGTTATGGACTTTTTCTTTTTCGAAAAAAGATCTTCGTTTTCAAATGTCAGATTAAAAATAAATCCATTAATGTGTGTGTGTGTGTGTGTGTGTGTGAGTGTGAGTGAGAGAGAGAGAGAGAGAGAGAGTTAAAAAGTTCTTGAGCTGAATCACTTCCCAAAATATAATAACCAGACATTTGATTTGATTTTGGAGGGAAGAACTTCTTCGTCGGCACAATCAACGTTCGAGCCCAGATAAACACTAGAGATTATTATACGTTCATATTCAACATGGTTAAGTCTAGGTATCTTCAAAGATTCGCAAAAAAAACGAGCATACATGATGAAAAAATGCCTGAAACTTAATAAAAACAAAGTTTTATCGTCAAAATCTTGTGTTATTATTAAGAGGAAAGATCAAAGTATTGATTATTAAATTATGTTTTTGATCCTTTTTAGAACTTTCGAAATTTTAGTTATGTTTTTTTTTCTTGTTAACGAGGAACCATAAATTAGTATAGGAAATTTGAGCGTCTTTTTGCGGTGAGAAACACAGCGATTTGCAAAAATCAAATAATTGTTGAATTTTAATGAAACTTTCAGACTAATTCACAAATTAATTAAATTATTTTAGAAATCTCTAGTTACAGAAAATATGCTCTGAATCGTAAAATAAAAAATGCAATAAAACCGACATTATTTAGTTAGGAAAGCTTTTAACTGTTTTTATGAATAAGATATATTATGGGCACTATTGTCTTAAGAAGAAATATCTTTTCGATGAATAATAAATTTTACAAGAATTATTATCATTTTAAAAATTAATTATAATAATTTATAAAGCTTTAAATCTTTTAAATTTCTGTATTAATTTGTACCGGTTAGGTGATATCGTTATTAAGTAAAAAATATATTTACTAATCATTCAGTATTTACGACAATTCAGCGTCCACCAGTATTTTTAAAAAAATTGATTTTGCGCATGCGTGTGTGTGTGTGTGTGTGTGTGTGTGTGTGTGTGTGTGTATAACCGTGCAGATTTTCGTAAATACGGACGTCTGTACGCGACATTATCAGAAAATAAGACCCTAACTATAGTAAATTTCAAATTTATTGGTAATTTTTTAACAATTCCTCAAACAAAATAAAATATTAGATAACATAGCATATTTTCCTAAATTTTTAAGATTACTTTGTACTTCAAAAATTATAAAAATGCGTTCATAATGTATTCAACTAATTTTTACAGCTATGCGCCCTTTGCTTAAAAAGATCAAATATTAAACTCTCCATATGATAAATCTGTCAACATCTCATAAAAATACCCACCTCCGTGTTACTGTTAAACAACTGCTTTTCCTCGATATTTTAAACTAAAAGTAGTATTTGTTTCAAATCAGATTAATTAAACATTAAATCAATTAATCTTCCTCAAATAAAATTTCGGAAAGGTATATTTTATTTTTGAAAGAGAATTCGGTTGGTTTGAAAGATTTGTCAATATGACCGATTTAAAAAAAAAAAAAAACACAAAGCGAAATATAACAATCAATTTAAATTCGGTTTGAAACACAGAAAAAGTATTTTACTTATTGGAAATATTTAATTTAATCCATTAGTTTGTAATTAAAGATTTTCTATTTTTAAAATGTATTTTAACCTTTAGGTATTCCTTTTTTGGGAGGAGGTACCTATTTAATTTTTCCTCATTTGAAAGATTGGAGCTACACAGTCTTATGTCTCTGCTGCAGACAAACATTTGCAGATGCTGGTATCTTTTTTGTCGTCCGTTAATATAGTTACAATGTATGAACGATTGATTATTTATGGGAGAAAGTTAGAGGCAGAGAGAGGGCGTTACACAGAACGACACAGGGCGCAAGTTAAGGTCGCCTGTGTGATTTAACACAAAAAGTAGTTTAAATAAACAATGCTTCCTTTGATTGTGGCTAGCATCCCCTTCGTCTACTTCCGTTGTAGCCTTTACATCTCGCATATCCCCGTTTTTTTTTTCTTTTTATTTCGTAACCGGCCTGATAGCCGACTTCATTTCTTCTAACTAGGCTATTTGTTCGGTCTAATCAAGTCTGGCGAAGGTCAACAGAGTTGAGCAAATTTAAAAAAAAAAATTTTTCTTCAGGTACATCTGACACCAGGAACTCTGGTTTTGAGAGGTCGGTCTTTAAGGTAACCTAGTGTCTAGACAAATGAATTGGAGGTCGGAAAATCGGAAAGACACCCCCCGCTCCCGCTCTCTCTCTCGTAGGGTGAGCTCGTTATAACAGACTCAGAATAAAGCCTATGAAGTTTCAAGTTAATCAAGCGATAATGTTGTTTTGACAAATGGTCATAGCTTTGGGGCATGAAAACAATTTGACTGTTTGAGGATTCGGTTGAAAAGTTAATGGTAGACTCTATTTACTCGGTAAGAATTTTGAAATCATCAGTTGATCCTCAATCTGTTCATATCTATCTATCTATCTATCTATCTATCTATCTATCTATCTATCTATCTATCTATCACATTCTCTCTCTCTATCTATCTCATTCTCTCTCTATCTCATTCTTTTTATCTAGTTCATTATCTCTATCTCATTCTCTTTATCTATCTATCTCATTCTCTTTATCTATCTATCTCATTCTCTTTATCTATCTATCTCATTCTCTTTATCTATCTATCTCATTCTCTTTATCTATCTATCTATCTCATTCTCTTTATCTATCTATCTAGTTCATTCTCTTTATCTATCTATCTCATTCTTTTTATCTATCTATCTAGTTCATTCGCTTTATCTATTTATCTATCTAGTTCATTCTTTCTCTATCTATCTAGTTCATTCTCTTTATCTATCTAGTTCATTCTCTCTATCTATCTAGTTCATTCTCTCTATCTATCTAGTTCATTCTCTCTATCTATCTAGTTCATTCTCTCTATCTTTCTATCTTTCTATCTATCTATCTAGTTCATTTTCTCTATCTTTCTATCTATTTATATATCTATCTCATTCTCTCTCTCTCATTCACTTTATCTATCTATCTATCGAGCTAGCTATTGATCTCATTCTCTCTATCCGTATCTATATATCTCATCCTCTAATTCTCTTTATCTATCTCTCTATCCTATTCTCTCTCTAACTCAATCTGTCTCTCTATTGATCGACCAATCGAACATATTTCCTAGCTGCTATTAGTTTACACTTAACAGCAATAAAGGGATCCCGTTGGGAATTTCATTTCTTACATTTTAACGAAATATTTTAGGTGGCTCCTTTATATTCGTGTGGGCATTTTCTCTTTGAAATCAGGTAATCAACGAGAGGAAGTTGGCGACGGCGTCTCAAATAAACAAAATCGAACAAGTGGCTTAAATTTGCGCATGTATGGATGAGGTATACTCACTCAGACATTGGATCTGTATATATATTTATCTATATTTAAGTACATGTATATACACTCATGTAAAATGCATATACAGGGGCACAGATGTGTGTGTGTCTATGTGCGCGTAAATATGCATACATAAATTTTAATATTATTTTGTGTGTTTTACATTATCTGAATTGACATACAACAATTCAATAAAATATCAATTGATAGATATAAACATAGAGAGATAGATACTATGAATATAGATAGATAGATAGATACTATGAACATAGATAGATAGATAGATACTATGAACATAGATGATCAGAAATAGATAGATACTATGAACAGATATAGCTATCAGTTCTTAGTATCTACCTATGTTCGTAGTATCTATTCGAAATAGATAGATAAACAGATAGATAGATATTATGAACATACCATATCTGAAATAGATAACTATGAACTAAAATATATACTATGAATAGAGATAGATATGAAAAGAGAGATATAGATAGATACTATGAAGAGAGATGGATAGGTAGATAGATATTATGAAGAATGATAAATAGATACTATTGAGAGAGATAGGTAGAAGCTATGGAGATAGAGAGATGTGAAGAAAGATGCTATTAACAGGGATCGATAGATACAATGAACAAAGATAGATACTGTGAACAGAGATAGATAGATAAGATACTATCAAGAGATAGGTAGATCCCATGAATAGAGATAGATAATTACTAGGAACAGAGAGAGAGAGAGATGAACAGCGATAGATAAATAGTTATAATTTATATTTACTAAATATAAATTACTCTATAATTTATATTTACTAAACATAACTCACTTGACTTAGCATAAGACCGAAAGTAGGGGGCACCCTGTGAGGATCGAACTCACTACTCAATTGTAATTGATTTAGCGAGACAAGCAGGCTAACCATTACACCACCTCGATATGCCCTCTCGGAGATAGTTAGATAAATATGAAGTGATAGATAGATCGATAGATTGATAAATCGATAGATATGAAAATAGGTAAAAACGTGAAAAGAGATATATAGATATGTAGATATGAAAAGAAATGAATAGGTAGATATGAGGAGATAGATAATGGGGCCAACTTAGATTTGAAATCACATAGATATATAGCAAGGAAAAAAGGCTGTATATAAAAGGGTTGGGGTAAAGAAAACGAAAAGAAATAACCAAGAAGAAATATCAATAAAACTTGTAGAACCCTAAAAGTGTCTTTTTTTTTCACTTCACAGACGCTTGTCGCACACCGACCATAAAAAAGAAGGGAAGGGAAATAAAAAGAAAACAAGAGTTTACAGCTCTTCATAACCAGAGGGAGATGAGGACAGTACAGTCATAAAACTCCTGGGCCTGCTTCCTGGCTCTATAGAGACAGAAGAAGCCTTTAAAAACGATGGAAGTAGAGGGTCTGGCTGGCGAATACGTACAGCACAGTCCATGTTTTACGCAGTCCAGGTTTACCATCTCGCAGTTGAGTGATATTTGGTTGAAACCAGTGTCAGTCCTATCTAGCTTCTTTTTACCACGATATATCCCTTAGAAACATATAAAAAAAAATATGTGGAGGAGTCTTTACCAGCGTATGGGTATGTAAGAAATTATGTACTTTATGTATATGTACTCGTAAGATCGGATTTAAAAAAAAAAAATTCTAGTCGTGTGCGTTTTTAGAAGCGGACGCTTTTTTTGCTTTTTCTTTTTTTTTTCTCTCCCAAAAAAGATTTTAAAAATTATCAATTATAAATCGTTCCTTTTTATTGATATTAATTGTTTGTAGTGTTTTGTTTGTGGTGGTTAACTTTTTTGTGTGGAAATTGTCCTCTTTTCAGAAAAATACACGAATTTCTTATTGTTTATAAAATTATCGGCGAGTTGGGAATGAACGTATCGAGAAAATTTTTTATATAGATTTTTAGTAATTGATAGAAAGACAACTCATAGGATATTTTTATATCGTGAATGAATGGAAGCATTGATTTTTAGGAAAAAAACATTTTACTTCAATAAATTTTATATTTATGTACTTTTATACTACAAAAGTACATCGTTACTTAATAATACAGATATAATTTATAAAATAAAGTTAAAAAGTAATAATAATCTATATCTCTTTTACCATAACTTGCGTTACACGCAAAAGTGTTAGTCTCTAAAATCACTAGTAATACTAGATTTTTTTTTTTTTTTTTTATTCAGCTAAAATTTTCAACAATATTAATTATAACTTGCGCTTGGTTTATAAGTTCTGGAACACTAAGAAAGATATTTCAATTACATCTTCATTTAAAAATCATATCTGCTCAAAAGAAAATATTTTCCTGATTTTTTATTTTAAAGAACTTAGTCTTAATATTTCCTTGGTTTGTTGGATGATTGATATAATACCGAATTTGCATGAGTATAATGATTTTGCTTCACTATTCTAAGTGGAGAAAGATACTACTTGGAAAATCAGCATTCGAAATGCTCATTTTCCCCGCAAGATCGAACTCTGACTATTCGCGCTGTTTACGCCGCTGACTTTTACTGCAACGCGCCCCTTTTGCAGGTGCGTTGCCAGGAAAAATAATCTATTTACAAGTTGTAAATCACAATTTGACCTGGCATAGTCATAGATAATTAATTACTTGCCGAGTTAGAAAGGAAAATTTACTTTCAAATCTTTTTCACGTCAAACAAACGCATGACAATTTCTTTTGTTGTTTCTTTTTAAATATTGAAACTTTAAATAAACCTTACCTAGGTGTTTTTAGCGTTAAGTAAAAAAATAAGTTTGTTATTGATCGAAATTGTTCGTGGGTTTCCTTGTAATGTAACTTTTTCAGGTTACCAAGCGTGTTCGTTTTATTTACTGGTGAACACAGTCACTCATACGTCATACTACTCCCCAGATAGACACTCGTTATATGAAGTTTTACGACTGCTGTCTTTCTAAAAGTTGATAAATAGACAACTAACTTCATTGTCGACGCGGTTGTTTTACACTAGGCTTAATTCATTTTGTGGTACACGGCCACTAGAAAAGAGCAACCAGTGAGAATCGAAATTACATGATTGGTATCACTTAAGAAACGGTTGTTTTACCTACAATGTACCGACGATAGTCTTCTTTTACGAGGCAAAAATAAAAGAGTCCTTTTCCTTTAAGCGCGCAACGCGGAGACTTGGACATTTCATTTCATCGTATGTGCTTCTCTCATTTTTATTGGATATTTATTTTTCCTTGAACCATAAAAACTGACCGTAAGGTGGACAGTAGGCTTCAAAATAATATAATATTAATAGGCCTAACTCACCCTTGGGGTGGACAGCTACTTATAATCGTAAAATTAAATGCTGACTAACTTCTGTTGAAACGAATGACGCATATGTAGTCTTGACCCTTGGGTCAGTAACAAGAAAGCGTTATGTTGAGGGTTGACTCTTTTAAATTGTACATTCGTGGGTTTTTGTTTTTTTTTCTCTCGGAATTATTTTTTTTTTTTTACTTACAATCATAATTCATTTTTGACTAATATTTCTTTCAATTGTTATAAATAAATATCTCCCCCCCCCAAACAATCGAATTTTTACAAAAACTTTCACACCTGAACCTGACTATTAGGGGGAAAAACTGCTTATTTTTTTAAGACGATTAATTAGCTTTTAAGTTTCTTCTTCTTTATATATTATATATATATATATATATATATATATATATATATATATATCTTTCTAACAAAGGCGTGGTGAACGGAAATATTTTATCCCCATATGGGCAGATTAAAAAAATATGAATTATAGAATCTTTTAAAATGCATTGATGTACATGAATTTAAGTAATTAATTTTTAGTCCGTTATGCGATTTCTGTACTTAGTTTGTTTGGCACAAGGCCATTATCACTGAGCACCATAATTAAAAAAACTAATCTTAAAATTTCTTTTTTCGTCAGGAAAGTTTGTTTTTTGTTTTGTTTTTTTAACAGAAAAATATGAAATAATGTAGTGTAGACGATTGAAGAAATTTGGAAAGGAAGATTCTGTTGCGCCAGTCTATCAATCAGTGAAGATCGGGCAGTGGCCTGCTTCAAAAATAAACAAAATATTCTGACTTCGACCTAGACTTGACCAATAAATACAGTGTAACCCGGATATAAGAGAAACTCGGATATAAGATAGATTTTCTCTGGTCCCAAATTAGAGCCTGTGTTAGACCAAACCCGGATATAAGAGAAACCCGGATATAAGAGACTTCTTCTCCGGTCCCGACAACTCTCTTATATCCGGGTTACACCACAAAATTACCGTCTCACTCACAAAGTAGACCAGATTAAAGGAGGGTATGAGACTTTTTTTTCTTTTTTTTTTTTTTTAGCACAACCACTTTATGCAAAGCAGCAAAAATATGACCCACCTCCTAATCATTTTAAGACCGGACCTTTTACATTTAATATCAATAGCCTTTCTTGTTTTATAATGGGGAGATGCCGCCTGTGGCACGAATCTCTGGTCTTCAAACTGCAATTATTTTTTGCTGTGCAGTTATCATTAAGAAGCACTTTACCAAATCTTCGACAAGGACTGTTAGATGACGGCGCTCATCTCCTCTCCTCTCCAAGAAATACTGATCGTGCTTGATTGTACCAGCAGCAGCGAATGCGACGCAACCTTAGTGCAGACCGCCACATACACACACACACACACACATCTCGTGGTTAGAAATACGTTGCGGGTTCGATCGTTACTAA